CAATTTTGATAGCTTACACTAGATTTATGATACATGGCTTATGCGTTTTCTCAATTATCATTGACAAAATGAATCCTTTAGGATTAGTCAGTGTCAGATATCAGCAAAAATTATGGACTGTTATTTGGAGCCACAGGTGGGTGCATAAAAACTTTGGACAATGAGATATCTTCCTTTCAGAGTATCCACATATTTTTAATGATAAGCAACCTTAATCATCATTTAGGCCATTCAAGATGAGGTCCAGAGAGCCAAAGTGATTTTCTTAGGTCATACAATTAGTAAATAACAGAGCCAAGCTTTGAATTAGGTTGATGTTTTCCTTCCCTAACCAAAATATAAGCTCCAATGCAGGCAAATGCCCTTTGTGCCCCCTATGATTTTCCCATAATATCTAACACAGCATTAGTGCCTAATGTAATTTACTTTACACAGTAAGTAAATACTTGGGCAGCTAGGTAGCCTAGTGGATAGAGTGCTGGACCTGCCGTGAGGAAGAATCAACTTCACGAGTTCAAATCTGACTTTAGAAACTCACTAGCTGCGAGACCCTGAGCATATCACTTAACCCTATTTGCCTTAATTTACTCATCTATAAAATGAGCTAGAGAAGGAGACGGCAAAGCACTCTAGTATCTTTGCCAAGAAAACCCCAAATGGAGCCGTGAAGAGTTGGAAATGACTAGAAAATGACTGACAAAGTAAATAATTAGGGTTATCTTTGTGCTGTGAATAGTATTTTGCAATTTGTAAACATCTCAATATTCAATAATAGTTTACAGTTAGAGGCAAAATTTTATAGTACATAGAGGTTAGTAAGCTTTGGAGTCAGGAAGAAATGGATTCATTTCCCACCTCTGACACAGGCTGGCTGTGACCCTGAGTAAGCCACTGAATTTGTGCTCAGTTCAACTCTCTGAGGCTCTAGTTAAAGGGAGTGTGGTGAACTGTACTTGGGGAAGAAGTTTCTTCATCCTGGAGTTCCCTATACCAATGATACCACAAGATTAGTCCAATCACCCATGAATATTGAAATTTAATGTATTTTTCTTATATGCAGCATCTTAACTCCCATGTTGCACCTCTTATATTTTGAGCTATTGGCTTGATAAATACGGTTTTATGTAATGATATTTTTCCTTACATGATTCAGATCTTTTAGCAAGTTGCTTTTAGATGCAGATTCCAGCTGAGCTTGGGGTTAAGATATACTAGTTAGTGCAGCTGCTTTTGGTTAGTAGAAAAGGTATGTTTTTTACAGTTAAGCATCATTAATTGTGAGCTCCTTGAGGGCAGGGGCTCTCAAATTTTTTTTTTCCCTGCTGTTATGGATTCCTTTGGCAGTCTGCTAAAGCTATCATATGGATATCATACAATATTTTTAAATGCATTAAATAAAATTTGTAGAATTACAAAGGGTATAAATTATCAATTTCCTTTTAAGTTCACAGATCCTAAATTAAGAACTCTTGACTTTAAGGCCTCCAGAATGTTGAATTGATTCTCTAAGAAGAAGAAGGTTTTGAACACGGACAAGGATTCATGAGTTAAGAAGGCATGGATGTGTTATAAGCTATACCAATGGAAGAAAAAACCACATTGATGAAATCACAGATCTAGATATACAACTGAGTAATTTAAATGTCTATAGTCTTAGGGTGTAGAGCATGTCCATATGTGTAGACAATACTGTAATATCTTCCTTCCCCTATCCCTTGACTTGTTCCAGGGTCCCTACTCATTGGGGTGTAATCCTGGAGCCATATACATAGGAGAAAACTAGAAGACGGTAGAAAAAAAGAGTCTGAGATACAACAGATGGAGAATGTCACATCTGAGAATAAGAAATTCAAGGATGAGAAGCATTTCTTTGTTATCTGGGTTTTTCTTTAAGTACATTATGCTGTTCCACTACTGAGGAATAAGGAGAAAGAGCAACCAGGGTCAGATTAGAGGTCTCAGTGACAGAACAATGAGTAAGGAAAAGAGGTTTCATTGTCTTTAAGATCACCCATTGCTTTAAAGTTTGTGCTGGGTTCCTTGTTTCTTTAATTGACATTAACCCATTAGGAAGCCTCAAACATAACAGTATGAGAGATTTTGATGGCTTCTAGTAGGAACCTCTGAGAGGAGGCCTAAATCTAAGTACCTCAATCATATTTCTGGTTGTCCTGAGTTTGGTGCGTGTCTAATAGAGTAAGGCCCTCATGGTTTTAGGAGAAGTCATAGACATGCACCCTGAAGCGTAGCTTTTTGTTTGCAGCTGATTTTATTAAAATTCTGCACAAAAGGGAAGAAGGTGGACTTTTCTGGTAAGTAGAGACTAAGTCAAGACAATAATTATATTCACAAAGACCACTTCACCTAGTGAGTGTCTCTACTAAGGAGACAGACACTGTGACCCACAAAAGGGATAGAGCTAGGAGACAAAGGTCTTTGATAACCATAGAAAGTTAGTCATTTTCCTGAAAGTCTTCTCTATTAGGTAAAACATGTAACTGGTAGAGTCAGACTGGAATTACAAATGCCTAGTCCTTATTGCATAAAGATCAGGCAAGTGGCTAACAGTGTTCTTTAGTGGATAAATGATTATTATCTAGTTAATAATATAATAATAGCAGCTCTGATGTCCATAGCAGCTTTTGTATCTACCTGGGATTTCCTTTTCTTTCCAGTCTCCTGGGAGTTCATGTTAGAGACAGAAATACCCTGCAGGCAAGCATACTTTGAGAATGGTTAAAAACAAAGATTCCTAGTATCCTAAAGTGATTTAAATTATTCCATCCTGATTTTAAGTAGAGGAAATAGGGCAGGAAGGTGATTAGGGTTCTTTGTCAGTCCCGCAGTTTCCTTAGATGGGAGAAGCCTATCTCCCTGTAAGAGAAGGAAAAGACATCATAGCAGAAACTCGAGTTTGTTTTGGGGACTTACAAAATTAAAATACAACTAAAGGGTTTTTTTGGTTTTTTTTGTTTTATTTTGTTTTTCCCCTCCAGTGCCTGTGATGACTAGTGACAAAAAAAAAGGGGGGAGGAGGGACAAAGAAAGATTGAGTACTTGGTCTCAACTCAATCAGTAGAACTGTGAATTGTAAACTATAGATTTGCAAGTAGGAGTGGTAATGTTAGCATACTGGGTGGTAGAATATCAAGATATCTCCAGGGCTGGGAAACTAGGGATAGGAGCTAAGAAAACAGCCCCACCAGCTATTTCCAGGCCTTTCATGGTATGGAATGCCCTGACATAAAGATTATACAGAGGAAAGCATAATAACAAATAGCCATTCAGTGATGATAATTTGTCATCTAAAGATACAACTATAATTCTTATTTTGATTTGTGATATACCATGTTCTAAATGGGATCACAGCATTTTAGAATTAGAGCTGTAAGGGAACTTGGAGATCATCTAGTACAAGTCCCTTCTTTCACTGATGAGGAAACTGATCAAGGTAGTCAGTAGCAGAGGTAGAAAGTGAAGCTGTGACTCCTTCCATTCTACCACATGATCTCCCTAGGTAACTTGCTAATTGTATCTTAGCAACTAAATTACAAGGCCTGAAGATAGAATAACAATTTACTGTGTTTAGTTTGTGTGTGTATGTATATATGTTATATGCGTATGTATATCATACACATATACATATATGTATGTTCGTTCAGTCATTTTTCAGTTATGTCCCAACTCTTTGTGACCCCAGTTGAGGTTTGTATGGCAAAGATACTGGAGTTATTTGCCATTTTCTTTTAGGGATGAAGAAACTGAGGCAAACAAGATTCAATGACTTGCCCAGGGTCACACAGCTAGTAAGTGTCTGAGGCCAGATTTGAACTCAGGAAGATGAGTCTTACGAACTCCAGGGCACTCTTCCACTCAATCCACTTAGCTGCTATACACACATACATGTATGTACAACATATAATGATCTAATTAGTATATATTACTTAATTATGTATTATATAAATTTTATATATGACCATTATATGACACAACTTTGAAAGTACAAACTCAAAATGGCCTATTGTAGGAATTTGGATGGAGTAGGCCCTATAATGCACACAGAATTTCAAGAGGGGAAGGCCATAGTCTATGTAAAAGATAGGATTATAAACCACTTGGGAATTAAGGGATACTATTGACCTAAGTATCCTCTGGGAAACAGGAAGCTAAACTAAAAGGGCTTCTTTCTTCCTTCCTTCCCTCCCTCCTTTGCTTCCTTCTACCTTCCTCGTAAATGATTTGCCCTAGGGAATTGGTCTCTAGCATTTCTATGAACCAGCAAGAGGTGGCTGTTAGGCTTCTTCAGATGAGTCCTCTCCCTCTTAAGAGCTTTGTGGTAGGAAAAGAGACCAGGGAAGTTCTATGTTCAACAGTACCAGGAATATCAAAATATATACTGGCTTTAATATTCAACAACTGCATCCTTCCTATCTGTGGACAAGTGTACCACTTGATACCTGGATTCAGTAAAGTAGGCCTATGTCTCTCCTTATACCATGGACCATTTAGCTTCCTTATTTTAATGGACCAAATCACATTACTATGACCTTGTATATAAATACTTGGCATTTCCACAATCAGTAAAAATTGATGATTTCCCACACTCAGGTCTAAGTGTCTCGAAATAAATTAATTTCATTGTATTCTGAGGAAAATCCCAAGAAGACTTTTTGTTTTCCACTCTGGTATTCAGCAGAAACCTTTGCTCTTCAAGTAGAGCACCTGGGTTTTTCCATAGTAACTCTTGGGAGTATTTTGTAAAATACTGATCATGTAACCCATAAAATAATACGCTGTTGTGATTGCTTCTTCTTGGCTGATGCCCAGGAGAAGTTCCTTATGATGTACTACTTGGAATAAATGCAGATTAACAAAAAAAAAAAAACTCAAGGCAAAATCATTAGGTCTTTTGATGTTCAACAATGAATTTTTAAAAATATGGGTACATACATGTGTATATAATATACATATACATATATTAATGTCCCTGTCAACCTTACCTTTTTGCAGTAGGAAAATAGCGAGAGCATGAAGAGCCATCCCATGCACAATATGGGTCTCGGGCAAGGCAACACTCTGCACAAGCTTTTCCATATATATCACACCGATGTAAAGGTAGTTGGGCAATCCCAGCAACTGAGCCAACATATAGTTGTTGCTGTGGGAAGATGTCATTTTAATAAAGGCTAAGCTTGGCAAATATAATTTAAAAGAAATCTTGCTCTGTACATAATCAAACCTTATATTTTGGGTGAGACAATGAATTCCACTATTGGTAATTCATATAAGTGATCAAACAATAGGATACAGGAGAGTGAGTGTTAGACTTGAGTTCAAATTCTACCTTAGACATATTAACTAGTTGTATGACCCTGGGCAAATCACTTGTTCTCATCAGTTTCCTCATCTGTAAAATGAGGATAATAATGGTACCTACCTTACAGAGTTATTGTGATAAGAAGTAGAGATAATACGTGAAAAGCACATTACAAACCTAAAAGTACTATATAGATGCTATTTTTGCATAAAATGATATCAATATTTGGTAGAACCAGGTGTCTTATATTGATACAAACCTAGATGTATAAAGATGGTAACATTTAAATGGAGTTGCTTTATAGATCATCCCATGTAAAAAGGACCAGAAATTTAGAGTTACAAGGACAGAAGAGTGAAGTGACAGATGAGTCACACTTTTTTTTTCTCACATACTGAGAAATGCTGGGTTTAAAGCTAGGGCTTCTGATTCAAAACCAGTGCTCTTTCTACTGTAACATACTGTCTCTATACCTTAGGATGCTTATTATTATTTTTTAAAGTTATACCAAATGAACACATAAATACAAACCAGTCTTAGATTATGGACTAGTCATGAAGAATTTCTATATCGTTTGCTTTCAGCTCCTGAGAATTTTCCTACTTTATTGATTGACCTATTATGTGGTCAAAATGGATGGATTTTGGATGTCTGTTCCTCAGAAGAGCATCAGAGTGTCAGAGATTAAAGATTAGAAGGAGCTAAGAATTGTGAAGAATGTCAACAAAATCAGTTCCTTTTTGTTTGTTTTAACTTTGTCTGAAGGACAAGGAAGGCATAGGTCTACTGCCTAAGGGAGAAAGGTGTAATGTTAATAGATAACAACAACAACAACAAAAGAATTACTAAATCCTGTTTTGCTTTTGTATTCTTTATCAAGGCAGATGATCTTCTGACTGAGAAGAGATGACTTATGGTTAAGGGAGAATAAAAGCTTAAGGTAAGTAAGCAAAGAGGAGGAAAACATCTGGATCTTTTAAATTAATTTATGTCTCCAGGTAAGATGAATTATACTCTTATACCCTACAGATGAAATTGCTGAACCATACTGTTGCTCCTTTTTTTTTTTAAAGAAATAGTGGAATAGGAGATAGAATTTATTAGAACATAGGAAATGGTCAAATGCTATCTTAGTTTTTAGAAAAGAGTTGTGTAAACCACTGACCAGTTACGGCAATCCCTGGCAAAAGTCCCAAACTAAATATTTAAATGGATGGTTTCTCAGCAAGAAAAAGGGTCAGTGGTAGTCACCAAGAATAAGCATGGTTTGTAATGGAATCTTAAGCGTCAAGAAATAGGAGAGAGGAATGTGACAGAAAGAGAAAGACAGACCACTGAAGACTTCAGAGTTATTTCATAGGTATAAAGAAAGCTCTTCCTGTAGAAGGGAGATCCGGACCAACTCTGGAAGAAGCAGCTTCCAAAAATATGTAGGTTCTCAGGTGTCATCAGGCAAGATGTCATTCAATAAGGTATGGTATCAGAGATAATAGAGAAGAATAGTGGTGGTTCATAACTCCCTAAATAGGGGTACTGAGGCAGCTATGTCACTATCTGATATATACACCAGAGGGGTCTGCCATCATCTGGAACATAACAGACATCCTTCTGAACACTCTCCAATCTGACTTTCACCCACTTCTAGAGGGTCACATGCAGATATATTAAAACAACAAAAGGAACCTAGACCACATTGCTAAAGAATATAAAGTCCTGGACAAAGAATTGAAGACCTTGAGGATACAGGTAGCATTATTCTAACTAATAGGGATTGAACTTACAGGATTGTTGGGGGGAAAATGTAAATCTGGGATTTGAATAATAGCTGGCTAAGAACATGGTCTTTGAGAATCGACTTGAATTTCTAGACCATGATTTAAAATTAGGAATGATGAGTTCAAAGACTAGTAAAAATATATTTGCCTGGAATCTTGCAAATCTAATTAACAGGATTTTAAAGTGAAAAGGGAGAGGGTAAAGATGATAACAGATAAATCTAATAGTATGTTATTTTTCCCCAGTCACATGTTAAGAAAATTTTTAGCATTCATTTTTACAAGATTTTGATTTCCAATTTTTTCTCCCCCTTCCCTCCCCTCTTCTGAAATGGTAGACTGTTTGCTATAGTTTATACATATGCTAGCATGTAAAGATATTTCCACATTAGTTGCAGAAGTGAAAGAAGAAATGGATTAAAAGGAAAAAAATGAGAAAGCATAAAGTAAGTGAAAAGTAGATGCTTCAATCTGCATTCAGAGTTCTTTACCTGGATATGGATAGTATTTTCATTCTTGAGTCCTTCGTACTTGTAAGACTTAGTCTAGTTGAGAAAAGTTAAGTGACTTGTCCAGGGTAACATAGCTAGTAGGTATCTGAATACCTGAATACTGAGTAGGCATGATTTGGACTTAGGTCTCTCTGACTCCAGATCCAACTCTTTCTAGTCACTGTAATACTGTGCCATCTAATTGGCAGAGCCAGATTTAAACCCAGGTTTCTGAATCCAAATAGAACACTTATATTTTAATAGGAGGAAATTCAGAAGCCACTATAGGAAGAATAGGACAGACTTGAATTAAGCAGAGTTATGTTATGGATCTAATAACTTTTGAAAACTCTTGGCCAAGCTGGTCAATTCAGTTTTTGAAAATATTTAATTTAGATAATAGACTAACCAAAAATTTAAAAAAAACCCTCTTCTCTGATGGTATTTAAGCATTGACATGCCATTTCAAGAGGGGACTTTTATACTTCTAATCAGTTCTAGAGCTTTTAAAGAGCAAACAGTATTTGAAAGGTCCATGGAAGGAAGGAAATATTGAAAGAATAACTTGATGACTGCCAGAAAGTGAGGAAAATCCAAAGTCAGAAAAATAGCAGACAGTTCAAATAAATTGCAGTATACCAAATGCTTTCAACCATAAGGTATTTCATTGAGATAACACTGATGATCATTTATTTTCCTTCTTCAACTTGTGAATGCTTTTCTGACTACTTGATTATATCAAAATATTTTTTCAATGTAAAGTATTTCTATAATAGGCAACATCTTGTAAAGAAATTACATGTGAATTTAACATATTAAGTGCTGAATATAAGGCAAGCAATTCTATTAAAAATCATTAGGTAAGGAAACATGCCAGTCTGGCTTCCATCCTGGAAATCCCCGTAAATCCTTGCCAACAACTGACAAATGTTAGGTCATAAGAACAGGTGAAAACATGCTTATGAGGGGTAAGATGACAGTATGAGGTCAATAGTATTTCCACTGTGAGTTTCACTTACACATTTTATCTCTAGATATCTTAGAGATTATTTATCAATCTATTTTCATATATCCTTATGGGAAGAGGATGCCCATTTTAGCAAAATATGGTCTTAATAGCTTGTTTGAGGGATAAAAGGATGATTGACAATTAAAACAAAAAAGAGAGGTAGGATTAAAAACAGATCTAGAAGAATGATCCTCAAATTGCAATAATACATAAGGTATAAGTTTAACCAGTGACTATTTTCCCAGTTTCACTCCTATCCATGTTATCTCCTTATTTCACTGAATGATGGACTTGGCAGCTATTACATTGCTTAAATTTGGAGTTGACTACTGCTGCTGCTACTCTCATTTTATCATATCATTTTAGAACTGGAAGGAGCCTTACAGATCATTTTGTCCAACACTTTCATTTATTATGAGAAATATGAGATCCAAATTAGGTGATTTTTTCCAAATCATATTTTTAGTATCAAATTAGTTATACATTGGGTTACTAAAGTACCCTCAAAGCATGGTTAATCTAGGTAACAGTGGCCTACTTTTGCAATGGCAGTTCTTTGAGGATTGTGGAAGGATACTCTACCTAATAAAACACATTTTTGAAGACATATTTACAAATCCAAACAATGCTTTCAAATGTTTAGCAGCAAAACATCGTTCTTAATTTATATTAATGAACTGCATGCAGTTGATGTGAAATAACTGGCAACACTATGGAAACAAAGATATAATTCATGAGAAGTAAAAACGAAATTTGTTTGTGAAAACTACATCATTTAGCCATCATCTATTTTGCTTAAGTGTGCTGCCAAAGCATATATTAAATTGGAAATGAGAAACTAAGACTCATGTAGCATAATAAACACTATTAATAAGCATGGTACTTTATATACAATTGGGAAAGAATAATTTTTGCTCAGAGTTTCCAAAATGTAAGCAAATTTAAAACTATAAAATTATTTTCCAGAGCTCTAAGCAAACTACAGCTTTCTCATATAGATATAATGATTTTTGAAGACAAGATCCCTACCAAGAAGATGGCTTATTAAGTGTCTCAGAAAATTATACCCTTCTACAAATAGACATGCGAGTATAATTATATAATTTCAGATGGAACATAAGTGATATGATATTTTCTTTAAATCTCCACTTAAGTCCTACTCCAATGTGTCACTGCTCATAGTTGACTCTGTGTTTGCCAAGGCTACATCAATGGAAAGAAAGCTCTGACAGGTCCTACTAACTTTGAGTAGAGGCCTGGCAATACCTCAAATTCTGCCCAAAGAGCGACATTACTAAAATTAGCCTATTCACCAGAAGTTGGTCACAGTATGAATGAATGTATGTTTTTCAGTCAAAGAAATGCTTGTATCTATTGGGGAGAGGATACCCACACTGAAGAATTTAGAGATCTGTGTCATCGAAGCCATTTCTCTCAGAAGATATTTTTTGCAAAAACATTTTTTCTATCCCATTTGCATTTTTGGAAAACTACAGATACCAAAACAGGAATATTCATCCTCTCCCAATGAACTGTCACAAATATTTCATATTCAAAATCAATTACTTTCTTGTGTACCTTTCAAATTTTAGTTGTAGACATTTTATAACTATTAATAAATTTTAATAATCTTAGAATTTAACTTAAAGATTGAAGTAAATGCGTATAATTTATAGTTTTATATTTTTAACCCATATTTTTCTTCATTTAAACTTTTAAACCAAGTAGAGGATCAAGGAAAAGAAGTTCTTTTTAAATAAAAAAAGTATGAAACATGTAAAATTTGCAGGTGGTTGTTAAAAGTGTTGGTTTTGGAGGCAGGAAAACTTGAGTTTAAATCCCATCTCAGATATATGTTTACTAGTCATGTGACCTTAGGGAAATTATTTAACTTCTCTCACCTTCAGTTTGCTCATTTGTAAAATGAGGATAGAAATAACACCTATTTCACAAGGTTGTTGTGAGGATTTAAAGACATAACATGAACAGTACTTTTAGTATACATTATTAATCAATAAAGCATGATGTTCAGTTCTGACCTTACATACCATATGCTAAATCAAATTTTTTTTTTTTGGTATTTTTCAAGCTGTTTTTTACTTATGCCTGAACCTTTGTGACCCCTTTTGGGGTTTTCTTAGCAAAGATGCTGGAATGGTTGCCTATTTCTTCCTCCAGCTCATTTGACAAGTGAGGAAGCTGAAGCAAATAGGGTTAAGGGACTTGCCCAGGATTACATAGATAGTAAATGACTGAGGCTAAATTTGAACTCAGGAAAATGAGTCTTCCAGACTCCAGGCCCAGCACTCTATCTACTGTACCACGTAGGTACCCTCTTTTCATGTTATGGAAACAAGAGTCACAGAATCTGGGTTCAAATCCTCACTCTGAAACATAAAATTTGTTTTACTTTAGGTAAATCCTTTAACTTCTCATAGTCTCAGTTTCCATATCTTTGGAATTAGGGAACTTATCTAGATGACTTCATTTTTTTTTTAATGGCATGCTTCATATAAAAAGGCTAAAATATTCTATTTTGAAATGATAAAAAAAATCTATCCTAGTAATATCGAAGTACCTGCTTTGTGGAAATCTTCATTGCTGAAATAACAGTTGGTTCCTAAAAGAAAAGATAAAATAAAGTTAAACATTTTGTAGGAAAAAAAGGAATAAAAAATTACCTTAAAAAACACAGAAAATTGTAATAGATACTGAAGGAGATACCTTCAAGTAGATACCAGTATTACCAAAGAAAGGTTTATTTTTGAGTTTTATTGATAGCTTTTATTTCAATACCACAATCATTTACCAATATACTATAGCTACCATTGAACCCTACCCTGTAACAAAGAAAAACAATTCATCACAATCAATACAAACACTGAGTTGGACAGCATATGATGTTCAGCACCTCCTATTGAAAGTAAAGAGGAATACAACCTTATGTTTTTTATCTGTAGAAGAAAGAAATGCAGAAATGAAAAGTAATAACATAAACACATAAAGACCAAATGAGTGGTCCAGAGAGGAATACTGCAGGATTTTAATTGGGAGATCACTAAATTACTATGAATAAATGTTAGCCAAGTCTTCAAAATCTGTTTGCCTCTTCTCAAAATTTCCTTCTTGCCTATTCTTTTACAGTCTCATGTATATACTTTTCTCCCTCCCTTGCCTTCTATTCTACTTTGTCATCTTTTTTTGCTTATTTGTCTTAAAAATTCTACATTTTTTAAATCAGTTGTATGACCAGTTTTCAAAAATTTTGTATTCTGTTATTTTATTAGATAGAAACTTAAAACTCATGCCAATAATACTTTAAAATACTATGTGTTTTTTTCACCAATCACTGAGCTAGATCTTATCTCCCGGTCTTTAATCTCAGGAGTTGTGAAATACACAAATATATTCCTTCAACAATCATTCAGAGGGGAGTTGATTGGTTTGTAAATTTAAGAGTATTAACCTTAGTCATTTTGTAAACAAATATCACTTGCTTAAAAAAAATTAAGAACATTTTGTGAATTGATTTCTGCAGGCACCTAGATTTTAATCAAATTATTTAGTGATTTTTTTTAGTTTCTTTATCTTTATGAAATCATAATGCAGATGTAGTTTTCTGAGCTAGCCACTATTAATTTAGATAACACATAATAAAAGATTTGGCTTGACTCTAGCCTGGTCCCATTAACTGTATAGTAGCAAGTTTGACACCAACTTTGAAACTGTGATGGCATTGGTAGCTTTTAAAGCAACAAATGAAAAGTTGTTTTTCATTCTGAAAAGATAAAATTGAATTCTATATTTAGACTGCTTTGTATCATTAGTGTCTGAATCAACTAACAACACACCAACCCCAAATGAAGGCTTTATAAGAAGCAAAGTCATCCTTAGCAGCTTCTTCTCCTCAACAGATTTTTTTCTACAATGAGATTTTCAAAAAGTAGTAATTATTTTTGTCCCATCAAATAGCCCTTCCTAAGTGAAAATGGGCATATCTTTCATTTTGGTTTTAAAATTTGAATCAATGGAAGTAACTTAAAATGCAAGTGTAAAAAAATCTAAATATCTCTGCATCAGCTGAAAATGAATTAACAGTACCTTAATAGTAACCCTGAATGATAAACTTATTACACTTTGAACCACAATATGATATACTATTACCTCAGCATGCTGAATTTAGGATTCAATAATGCTTTTAAAGAAAGGGAAGAAATTAATAATGGTTCTAAATAGTTCACTGCCTATAACTCATTGTTGTGGTATTTGAATCAATAATATGTCATGATGACATTCATTAAAATAAACAGTATTTCACTGTAAAATACATGTTGAATCTGACTCCCATCTAAAACTAGTGTTGCTTTAGAAACCTTTATTTTATTTATCCAAACTCAAATTCAAGAAAAAATAAAATAGAAAAACAGTTCTAAGCTTGTATTTATGTGGCTCCAATTCATGATTTTTTTTTATTATTATTATTCAACATATTTCTAATCCCTAGTAAACTTTACACTTGCATAGCTTTCAACCTGCTGATCTCAGGAGAGTTCACCAGGCTCACTGGAGGCTCACATGGACTCTCTTTAACAAATGAGTTAATAGACTTGGTATTGGAAAGCATCAATTATGTTTTACATTTGAATGAAAATTGAACTCATTCATTTGTTTGCTCAGCTGTTCCTGAAATATTGCATAAATTGGGTTTAAAATGCATGTTATCAATGTAACAGATTTGCAAACCTTCCAGTTCAGGAGAGCTATGAATAAGAACCATTGTGTTTATTGATGCATTGAAACTTGGGCTGTGTGATGTATTTCCATGGCTGGTGTTAACCAAAACTTGGTCCTAACTAGTTAAAGTGAAAATCAAGTTAGCATCTTCATGCCAACCTTCATTTTTTTCTTTATTAACCTCATGCATTTTTATTATAACATATTACATTTATAGTTTTAAAATACCTTTTAGACCTTTCAGAGGGCATTTTTATTTTTATTAAGGAATATTTTTAATGGACCTAAAAAATAGTGAGTGAAATGTCCTATGTCAAAAGGAATTCATGGTTGTCAGATTTCCTAGATAACTGAGTTTGCTCACTACCAAGTGAGTAATGTTATTATCTCCAATTATCAGATGAGGAAACAGAGGCTGAGGAAAGGACTGGCCTAGCATCACACCAACAGTTAGAATCGATGCCAGGTCTAACTGACCCCAGGTCCAATATTTTAGCTACTATGATACCTATTTAGAGTCCAGGCAAGGCAACACCTAGAGTTTTAAACTAGTGAAGATTTTAGTTATGCTTAGGGCTGAAATTTATCATAGGCTGTCTGTTTGAAAAGAAGCTGATGACCACTTATTAGCTCAGGAAAATTATATTCAGAAGAATTGATTTTCTTCCTATGTTCTACTTGAGATCTAGATTTAACCTGTAATAAAAATTCTTTGGAGGTAATCTCAATTACTGGAATGTTCAGAAATTGACTAGAGACTTTGCAGCATAACTATGAACATAATATTATATGTTGTCAATATTCTTATTTAATCCAGCAAAAATGATTCAATAATAACTACCTTATGGGTATAACATGGTTATAAATTAACTATTTGGCTTTAGATATATTTTACTAGATCATGTCAACCTACTTTTGCAGACAGAATGAGAATATACCCTTCCCATCTCAAAGAGAAATACAGACCAGAGACCACAAAATAGTCTCTCATATATCACTGGATATAGAGACTGGTTTAATGTGATGTTATTTTTTTTAACTACAAAATTAAACAAAGTATGACAGTGATATATTCCAATCTGTAGGTTGCAATATGAGTATAAGCTTTACCTGTGAGCATAGAATGTTTAAAGTAAATATTTCTTTAAATTCTGCCCAAATATGTTTTGTCTACTTGAGTACCACAGAAATAGCAATGGCAATAATGTTCAGGAGCTATTGCAGAGAAGAATGTAGGGAAAGGTAATATCAAACTATGAAAGTATAAGCATTTCTTGTTGAGAAACTTTACTGGTCATCCATTAGGAAGTAATTTAGTGTTTCTTTGATAGGTGAGAACAGTAAACAACTCAGAAAACAAATAATTACTCATTTATATTTACCTATAGCATGTACTCTGGAGCTGTTCTTCCAGCCCCCCTATTTAAACTGGCAATGATCTCAGAGTCCTCAAAGCCTGAGCTTTGGTTTAACTTCTACCCTCACATTTCTAAGGAAATTCTAAAAAAAATGTGGTATAGTTTTTAAAGTTACTGCTCACAAGCTACAGGTGGTATACTATCTACCTCCTTTCCAATTATTGCTTGATAACAATTAGTCTGCCAGATATTCAATTATTTTAGTTTTTAAGAAGGGGTATTTTACTAGAATGGCATAGTAAGAAGAATTTTGATAGAACATTCACCCCCAAGAAGTCTATAGTAAACTCTCCTGACAATATATATGAAATCTAGGAAAGAGGGGTCACCTTCCAAAAGCATTTGTGGCAAAGGCATAATTCTCATTTTCTAGTTGCTGAAAATCCTCTTCTCCCTTTCTGGTGTAATGATGAAGTTCTCCCTACATATCTTATAACTTTCCTCTTGGGCTGCTTGTAGAGTCTAGAAACTGCCTTTCCTAAGTAAGTCTAATTTGTTCTTAGCTCCAGATGCAGATATTCAGTCAGCTCTTCTGGCAACATTGAAAAGACTAGGACACCAATCGAAGTCCAAAAATCTTCTAACACTCCAGATTTCAGAAGGATGATAGGATCATAGATAATAGAGCCAGAGATAATCTAATTCAATGATCTCCCCTCATTTTACAGATAAGGAGATGCTCAGAGGTATTATTGGCTGATTTGCTTGGGTTCCATGCATGGTAAGTAGCAGAACTCTCTTTCCATTGAATCACTATGTGGTCAGTGGTAGATCTAGGTTTGGGACCTAGGTTTTCTGATTCCTATTTCATTAATTTTTTTCAGTATATTATTTCATCTTTTCTCTGTATGGGAGCTGTTTTAAAAAATCCACTATTTCCAAAAATCTACACATTTGATTCTGTCAACATTTTCAGGAAATCTATTCATCTTCATTCTTCTAATTAACATAAAAAGAGTATCTCCACTAGGATGGGCTATAATTACACCTCTTCCTTTCCATTTTATTCTCTTTAACCCCATTTCTACAGAGACAGAATACCTAATGGGAATGTAGCATTGCTTTAGTTTCTGATTTGACACCATCACAGGGTGGTGAAGATGAGAATCAGTGACATAAAATGAGTATATTTCTGGGATCACTTTTTAAGTGTATTTAATTAAGTGTAATTAAGCTTTAAAATCAGGATTTGCTCACTTCTATTCTGTATACCTTGCATGTCTTCCACCTTAGTTGTTGAAATCCCATTAATCTTTCAATATACAACTCAACTGTCATTTCTTTTTCTCAGGGCTTCTCTGATTTAGTTAGAAGTTATTTCTCTGACCTTTGATCTTTCCTAGCACACTTTATTCTACTTTTCTGTAGTTATCTCACTAATTTTCAGTTATCATTATTTGTCTTATCTCTCTGACTCAATTGTTGAAGTTCTTAATATCAGGAACTATGTCTTATGCATCAACATGAAGGAGAGTTTCTTATGCATAATAAGTATTCAATAAATGTTTCTTGTATTGAATTAAAAAATGATTTAAAATGTATTATCACTGACATAACAAAATAAGTTTGCAACAAAATTCCTTTCATCTTTAGTTTTAACAATTATTGAAACTTCTAAGATTTATTTTGACTAGAGCCTGACTTTTTAATTGATGAGCTAATTAGAAGGGTATGCTAGATTGCTTGTTCACACCAAGTTCAACGTGCAGCTGTCCAAAGGGAAAAGCATTGCTGAACTTGTTGACACTTTGAAATTAAGCAATACTCACCCGAAATACTGTCATTTCTTCCAGTAAGACTTCTTCTAAATCATGCCAAGTCTCTTTAGGAATTGAAACTACTTTGAGAACTGTCCCTATGTCTTTGAGAGAAAGAAAAGGAGATGACTATTTAAAAGGTCATGTAGTGATGGAGGGCATAATAATATTAAAATTAATGAATAAATTTTATTTTGCATTTGCCAAATTAGTATATAATAAATCTAAGAATATTCAGTATATTTATTATGTTTTTTAAGCACCCGAACTAGGATGCATTTAATCTAAGGAAAAAAAAATTTGGTTTATGAAGCGTTCTCTTGAAGTTGTACACATTTGTTCAGTTATTTAGTCACGTTCAACACTTCCTGATTCCACATGGGGTTTTCTTGGCAAAAATACTGGAGTTGTTTGCCATTTCCTTCTCCATTAGATTGAGAAAAACAGAGGTTAAGTGACTTGCCTAGGGTCATGCAGCTAGTGAGTCTCTGAGGCCACATTTGAACTCAGGTCTTCCTGACTCCAGAACCAACATTCTATCCATTGAGTCACCTAGCTATCTCCTGTTCCCATTTCACCCAAAACAAACCCTGCTCCCCAAATTAAAAATAGAACAATATATTTAACCAAAAAGGAATTATTCAAAGTTTAACTGTGATGTCTAAATAGAATTAGGCAACATTATTGTCATTATTACTATTGGAAAGAAACATTTGTTTATCCTTATAGGAATGCCATCTTTTCGACTTTTATTTCAAAATATGAAAGTTATTATAGTAACTACATTTTGAAGGAAATCATAAGAAACACTAACTGATGAAGATGTCAGATCATTTTGGATCAAGGAAATGAATAGTGAGATAAAAGGATTTAGTGTGTGTGTGTGCATGTGTGTATATCCAGAAAGATAGTTATGTAATTATTGTGATCTATGATAGTAATTTGGTTTCAGGAAAGGAAACAATAACATGATATATCAATGGCTTTTTGAAGATTATATACTTTGGATAAATAGATCCTCAGAAATAAAAAAAATAAGAAACAAAAAAGGAAACTAAAATAATAGAAAACATGATTAATCCAAGTTATAATTGGTATTATTATTCCTCAAATATTCTATTCATTTCTAAAAATACAAATTCTCCTTTGTGACAAGTACTGTGGATTAGTTTCTATTTGGGAAGCAAGAGTTCTAATTTCTAAATTTGTATTTTTTTTTTTAATACTTGATGAACCTAAGGGGGAAATTTTTCTAATTAAACCAAAAGCTAATGAACTGAACTTTCAGTTATGGCAAGAAAAATGCATATAGACAAAAAAAAATTAATTGAGTCTTATTTTGGGTACATTTGCTAATTTTAAACACGTGCTTAAAAGTGTAATTATTAAGAGGCTACATAGTTACATCAGTAAAGGATGTTATAAAGGATTAATTTGTGTGTGAGCATGACTACCTCCAATGAGAACCCCACAGAGTTACACTTCTGAAATGACATGTTGATAAAGAAAAACAATGGACGTTCTTGAATTAAAATAAGTTGACCTTGTATCTCTGAAAAATCGAAATATGGGGCACTCTTTTAGGAAGACAAATATTTACAGGAACTTAGGCTTCTCAGAACTCCAAAAGTTAGAGTAAGACTATATGATTCTCTTGAATGCCTTTGATTATAACTCTACTACAATGAACAGAATTATAAGAGCCTCAGATCAAGTTTTACAGACTAGCATTTCAAACAATTTCATACTCTTTTAGGATCAATAGGCTTTGGTGAGCAACCATTTTAAAAGATAAAATTACTGTTATTAATTCACTTTACTGACAGACCAATACTTTGGTGACTGATATTCCATCCATGTCTGACATTCAGTGTGATCATGAAAGTGGGGCTTTTAATCCTGGTTTGTGACAAGAAGACTTCAAAAGAACAGATTTTGTTTCTTTTGTTGAACATCTCAAAGCAGACTTACCACAATGACAACAAGCAGATTTTTACACTGTCAAAAATTATACCCCCAAAAAAGGAGTAACAATGATATAAACTGTAGGAATTGAGTGGCATTTACTACACATTCAATTACTCCAAATTTTGAACATAGAAAAAATGTTTTATTAAATTTTCTAGCATTTTTATATTCCTAGAAACAAAAATTACTAATTAAAAAATAACGTAGAGAGCTAATTTCATTCAACTTTTATAAAGCTACTTAGGAGTTGACATTAATGCCTGCAATTCAAGACTAATATAATATTGCAAAAAATCATATCCATATTGTTCTTGGACCCTTTCAATAAAGGTGTATCACTCATAAAACTAAAGGATAAAATAATGTTCAGGACCTAACATTATTATACCCGATAGCACAAATATTTCTGGTTTGAAATTTTTAAATCTTTAAAGTACTTGTTGCCCAGTTACATTTTTCTTTGGCAATTGTAAATGTGCATTATTTCTCAACTAAGGAAAATGAATGTTACTACATGAAGTTTTACTGGAGTAATCAGCTTCCCACTGATTTATGTCAAGCACTAACAAGGATGGAGCCTAGAGATTTATTGCTTTGGAATCTGACCCTTAATATGAAGTTGAAGATTTGCAACTGGTACCATTCAAAAATAGTATTACTGTTACAGAGTAAAAAAAATAAAAACAGCTTATGTCATAGTACCAGTGTGAACCAGTCACAGACCAAAGAGGTATCTGAAGGTTAGATTTTAATTGTGGAGTCTGAACATTTAGACATTGAAAATAGGAGGTAGTTATAGAATTCATAAATTTTTTCTAAAGTTTTACAAAGCAAGAGCTTGGATGTTTCTATGGAGAATTTTGCCATTTCTGCCTTGAACTGTTATAATGACCTAAAGGAAAATTAAACACATTTTAATGACAATTTTCTTTCTTTTTTTCTTTCTTTTTTTTTTGCTGTTAGTTTTGGGCAAGTTCAAATCACATTACATAAATGAGTTATTTGACTAAACTTTTCCACAAAATTAGGAAACCTTCAGGAATTGAAAGGAAAAATAATTCTCCACTGTAGTGAAATAAAAAATAGTGAGGCAGCTACTGAACCCTAGTGAAGTGACTAGGGACACCAAATGTTCTCCTAATCATTAGGTACACCTGTTCATATTCAATCATGGACAAATTTAGGTCACATTGAAAAGGAAAGTCATTAAAGTGCTGTCAACAGACCTGAGAAGAGAATTGTTTAATAGGCTTTTAATGACTTAATGTTCAGTTTTCAAGCTGTCCACTGATCAGGAATCTATTAGACCTTGCAAATGAATATGGCCATTCCTTTTGGTTACCTTAATTTTTTTTAAGTCAGTATTGGGTAGTATTGAGCACATTAGTCAAATGCAATTGACATGTAAATTTAATGCTGAAGTTGACTCTTACCTGTTCCAATAAACATTACATCATATTGGCCATCTTCTGCATCCACTCGATCTACTACAATTTGTGTAAACTGGTATTTCACATCTGTTTTTATCATAATTGGGCGGTTATTAATAGGAAACACTGGATTATACATGGCTGGATGACTTCTTGCAAATGTTATAACATCATCTGGAAGGTCCTTTGTTGAGTCAAACCCTCCAAATGTTTTACTGGGACACTGAGAATGTAAGAGCACAGAATATCTGTCAATTAAAATTAAAGATGGAAGAATAGAGACTACATAAAAGCACAGATGAGTATGAGAAATACTATGAGAATCCTAGTTAATTGATAATTGCTTTCTGGTTTTTTTGCGTGTATTTTTATGCATATATGTGTCTGTGTGTATACACATAGGTGTGCACACACCAAGAAAACATATGTGACTATCTATTTTACACAAAAATGACATTAATGGTAATATCTTTTAGTAGATTTAGTTAATAGTACAATTTTCCAAATACACCACATACACATACATACGTGTGTGATACATAATTTTCCCACTACTTAGCTCTTAGAAATTTATAAAAATTGGAGAGTAAAGAACATTTTCTAGTACTTATATCACACTGCAAATTTTGTTTCACTAGTATACATTTGGTAGGGTAAAAATGGCCACAAAAGAAGAATTTGCAATTAAGAAAAAGACATGTTTCAACAGAATATTCTAATATCATTAGAGAAACTTCTCTGAATGATGCATTCAGATTTCTTTTTTTGCTTTTACCTAATGCATAACAGCACATAACAGATATAAATGCAGGGCCTAAAACCAGCCAACATTAAAAGAGGGGCTTTTTGTTTTGTATTTTCTACCACAGAACCAGACCTATGTGTTTTTGTGACCTAAGGTAATTCTGGTGATGATTATCAGTATTTAGTATAGAGTGGAGTTTACAAAGCACACACTAAAGAAAAATTTGATTCACACTGACAGGATGACTTCACTGAATTTAATCTTCTAGTAGAAACATTCACAGGTTAGAACATCTTCAATCACCTGCTTTTTGTCTTATACACAAAGAATTTCTGTTATACAAAGAGTTTTTAGAAACTGAAATGTAATTAAAAGAGATTCCTACTCATGTTGGATTCTCAGAAGAAGAAATCAATTCTCTTTGTACCTTATTGCAGATTATTAATCATTCATCTAGTTTTTGTAAAAAAAAAAAGATCAATGAGGAAGTTAAAGCCTCAAGAGAATTGCCTATTGAGGTTTAGGGTTTTATTATATTTTGGGGATATTTTGTATCAACTCTGATAATATATTTTCAATGAAATGAAATATTTAGAGGTGAAAAATTTAATATTAATTGAAGTTAAATTTTCAAAAAAAGACAAGTCTTTATGTCTTCTGCTTTCTATTATCATTTTCTAAGTAACTTATATGCAAAATTTTAGATGAACATAAGTTACAAATGAAAGTTTAAAAAAAAAAGAACGATTAACTGCTTGGTCCCTTACATTCCTTTATTTTATACAGGGTAAAGTAATGTTCCTTCTCATTACTAATAAATCATTCAGACGGAGTTCTTTTCTAGTAGTAGTGTTCGATTGGTGGCTGTGCAGCTACACACTTTAACCTGGCACCATATCTACCTAATGAAACACATGGACTTTACCTTTGGAGCAGTGCAAAGCAAAATGACTCATCAAGGGATTTAACTGATCACTGACATATTTAGAAATGATTTATGGCTAAGAAAAAAAGGAAACTCCTCTATATGGAAAAGGTAGAGTTGACTTCCTTCAGTCTACCTTTGAAAGAGAACATAATTTTTCACCCAGTACATAAAAACATATATATGTATAAAAATATGCAGTCGCTTAACCCCAATTGCCTTGCCAAAAAACAAACAAAACAAAACAAAACAAAACCAAAAAAATCATGTGATTGTCCATCCCAACTCAGTAGTATGTTTATCAGAGGAAAGGGAAGTTTCAACTATCTGGGTATTCAGGAGGGACCTGAATTCTCTAGGAAAATAATGAATAAAAGGATAGGATTTGACATATGAGAATTCCTGGGAGAGTGCAGAAGTTTGAATGCCATGATAGCTTTTTGTTTTGTTTTGTTTTGTTTTTCAGGTGGGTTGATGACTGCGGCTAAATAATACCATTTAGAAAACTGGGGAAAGCATACTGGAAAGTGCATGTTGGGATTGTATTCAATGAGTCCCATTAAACATAAAGAAAGCCTGCATCCTAGACATTCTAGGATCAAACACACTAAATCTGTCTCACTAGATTATGGCACCGGAAAGGGAGTTCTCTAATTTATAAAGGTAGATCTGCTATATTGCAGATACCTCTTCAGCAGAAGCAGCCTAACACATGACTGTGCTCTCATGCTACCTAACCTATGAAATTTGATCACAAATATAGTGCTAATGATGGAAGGGTACATTTCTATTATGGGGCTTGCCTCTACTGCAAATTAATGTAGTCAGAGTAATCCAAACCCAATCAAAGTGAATAAACAGTGAAAAGATTTTTTTTTCCTATCTGTCAGGAAGTCTAAACACTATTTGGACTAAAACATTAAAGTTGACCAGATATCTGTACATTATACAAGATGTATAGTTATATAGTATATATTTTTAGTAGACAACACCATGTAATTATAGGATGATTTGCTCATCCATATCAACAACTTTAGAACACAGACATATTCATCTAAATCTAGACAATTTATTTGCTTAAAACAACACATGGACACAATTCTCATTTTGAATATCCAGAGGACTTACAGTTCCTGGCCGTGGATATGGAACTCTTCCTTGATATGGCACCCATTGATAGTTTGGACCATCCCTATGTGCATATGGACCAAGAAACACCCTTCTCACATCACTCATGCTGTACATACACACAGCTGACCCCTTGAAGATGTTACTAAAAGGTAAAAAGAAAGTCCATTTCTTCAAACAATCTATCAATTTAATTACAAAAGAACCATGTGGATAATGGCATTTTGCATTCTAATGTATTATGGTTATTGATTTTTCAGAACTCAGAAATGCAGCCTCAACATATACAAACTTACCCTTAGAGATCACTTTCATATGAGTCTAATACATGAAACTATTCTACAATAAACAATTGATAAATTTCTTATTAAAGAGGATATAAATAGGTAACCAACTCAGTATTTAGTAATTAAATGTTTTAGTCAACTTATTCTTGATACAATAAAATGTGATATTAAAATTACAATGCACATCTGCTGAAAGTATTTCATTTCTATTAGAAGAAAAGACAAATTTCACATGACACACACACACACACACACACACACACACACACTCTGAATTAGCATTCCAGAAATGTGGGCACCAGAACTAGAATAAAGCAAAGATAATCCAAGGAAAACTATAGTTTATGTTTGTAAAGAAATACAGAAAAAAATAGTTTATGGTAAATGCAATCCAAGGAAAACTATAGTTTATGTTTGCAAAGAAATATAGAAAAAGTAGTTTTTGGTAAATGCAATCCAAGGAAAACTATAGTTTATGTTTGTAAAGAAATATACAAAAAAATTGTTTATAGTAAATGCTATATTCACAACCTTCTATGGTCACTCCCAAAGCAGTCCCCCAAATGACGCTGTATAAATAATTTTATTGTTTGTTGGAAAAGTTTTAAATAATCTTTAGTTTTCTAATTCCATATGCATAATACCCCATCTATTATCATATGAAGAAATATAACTAATAAATCTGTAATGGTTGATTGAACTAGGCAGCATGCTTTAGTGAAAGATCCATGGCCTTGGAGTCAGGACAACTAGATTCAGGTTCCAGGTTTGCAATTATGGGATGTCAGGTGAATCATCACTTTTGAGTCTTACTTCCTTTGTCCTTAAAATGAGGGTAATGATGCAATATACTACCTACATTATAGGCTTATTCTGTGGTAAGATTTTTTTTTAATATGAAGTACTATATAAATGCTCACAATTATTATTATAATGATGATTGTGGAAAATCTTCAGTATTAGTTCCATCTTTGATAGCTATCCTCAGAGGTAATTCTTAGAATGGTTAAAAAATCTGAATGTTATATCTTTACTCTCGCCAACTCTCTTTCTAAAAGTGCCATAATGCTTTTATTACATTTAACCTAGAAACAACGCACTAAATAGGAGTTTGAGATGTCATTTCATAGATTTGTAATGAGGCAACATAGTATAGTGAAAATAGTATTAGATCTGAGATCAGGAGATCTGAATTTAAATTCCCTCTGAAACTCTTCACTTGAGGTAGCTGAACATCAGTTTTCTCATCAGTAAATTGCTAACAGTTGTACTACATGTCTCATAGAATTTCTGGGTGTGTTCTTGTTCAGTTGTTTCAGATGTGTCCACCTCTTCATGACCCCATTTGGGATTTTATTGGCAAAGATGCTAGAGTGGCTTGCCATTTCCTTCTCCTATTCATTTTACAGATGAAGAACTGAGGCAAACAGGGTTAAGCGACTTGCCCAGGGTCATACACCTAATAAGTGTTTGAGGTCAGATTTGAACTCAGGAAGACGAAACTTCCTGACTTCTGGCCTGGCACTCTGTGCACTACCTAGCTACCCTATGTGTATGCTAATACTATTTTTGCTGCATAAGAAAAAAAGGTGTGATTTATTCTATTCACATGGTAATCCCCCATATATCAAATATCTTGAAAATCAGTTTCTCACTTGGTCCAGTCTAAGTGCTTTTCCCAACTTGATTTTCTTGACTTCCATATTTACTTCCTCACATAGCAAATTTATAATTTATAAGGGATTACCAGTGTATAGTATTTAAATATGGCTTTCCCTTATCATAAATTATAAATATCTCTGCCTAACTATTTAGAGTGAAGCTGACATTGGAGATTTTCCACAAACATCATTATTATGTTATTTGTGAGCAATTAAATTGTTTTACATTTCCAAAAATATCTCAGTGTAAGTCTATAAGTTAAGTAGTAAAAACATCCTCCTTCTAATGGTAAGGCCATTATACCACTAAAAGGTTTGCACTCCATATATGTAAAGTATTATCTATTAATATTGTTGGTAATGGGAAAACTTACAAAAAATGACTATGGATAATGTAGGGAATTTGATATTTTAGGATTTGGGGACATCCAAATAGTGATGTCTTAGGCCAATATAGATTTGCAGCTAGAATGGGGGTGAGTAGTTAGGATGGATGGTATAGGTCAAATAATCAGGAGAGCATATACTCATGGAAGATAAGGGAATTATATATTTTAAAGAGTTATAAGTCTTTAAAGGCATACAATATTTAAGATAGATGAAGAATATGGAATCTTTTGAAAAGAGAGATGAATTTGGTCAGGAAGTAGTTCTGAGTGACCCTAGTCCCTCAGTCTTCAATTTTACTAGCCTGTGGGCAGAATATTATGCCATGCCTGGTGATAGACTAAGTAAGAAAAACACAGACTGGAATTTTGATTTAGGTAGGGATTGGCCTAAATGACCTATATTTCCAATGCAAATTCAAGGTTCAATAATTTCATGATTAAGAATACAGAAAATTAGTTTATATTTATAAAATTTTGTCTAATAGTTTTAAATGTTTGATTCCTTCTCCCCTCCCAAATTTATACTTTATTTCTCCATCATTCAAATGTCTCAAAAAATCAAACCCTCAGGTGCATTCAACATTTTTCCAACTTCAAGAGGGAGCTCATAGGTACTTGGTCCATTCTAACTGTTCTTCCCAACTTCATTTCATAAAATTATCTTATCCACTTCCACATATAGAGCTTTGGGGACTGAGACTTTAAATATAATGCTCCCCTGTCATAGATGCTAAAGATATGTTGCTATGAAAACAATGGCAGATTTATTCCATTTTTCATCTGTGGTGATTCCCTTCCAATTTCATCTATAAATGATATGCTTTGGGAATTGTCTGTCTTAGTTGGCTATAACTCCAACATTTCTGCAGAGATACATTATGAGGTAATATTGCTTGTAATCTCCCAACATCCTCCTCTTTAACATTTAGCAAATTATTTTGTATTCTAAATCAGTTATGCTTTTGGCTACCATGTTTCTTGTTTGTGATGATCAAATGTTTTCTGGTGGAGACAGTTTCTGGGCCCTTTAAACTTTATGCCTGTGGTGATTACACCAGTTATTTAAACTTATATAGAAAATGCTAATAATAAGCATCAATTATCTCTTGATTTTATCAGTTTCCTATCTCGTTTTCAATAGCTTATTTGAATGGTTCAATTTAGAGCTGTTTTAATTGCCTTCTTTTCATCTTTATCCTTTCTTCTGGTTTGGTGTTGACTTTGATCTTTTCTGTAAGCATCAATTATCTATACACAGATAGCTGAGGTAGAAGTTATTTCCTCTATTTGGTAACTAGTTGTATCCTAACTTTTATGATATAGTCATTTTCATTTTCCTGTGATTCAGTGCTTACCATGTGTAATATTTGAATGGAAATGTGGTATATACATTAATAGAAGGCCGGCCTTTGAGTCAGAAAGACTCAAGATCAATTCCTCCCTCTCTTACATACTATCTGTGTGACCATTAGGTTTCAGTGTTCCCAGGCAAATCTCTAAGAATATGAGTTATTAACAAGTTGCTGATGTAAATCAGTGAAAAGGAGTTCTCATACTGGGAGTTCCCCATACCAATGAAATCACATATTTAAAAATAAAGATAGTGCTCACCATGTCCAGTGCCTTCCAACTCTTTTCTGGATAAAAAAAAATAATCATAATATACAAGTGGAAGGAAGGGTTCTAGGTTGTTTATGAGCCATTGGCCTCTTTTATGTCTGAATTCTGAACCATATTTTCCAACTTTTTTTTTCACCATCCTCTTGTATGTCCAACTCCACACTGAAGTCACCAAGTATTAATGGATATGCTTAATAGTTTGGAAGTTCTTGACAAGTTCTCCATATAATTTATCTACTTTGTCCTCTGCAATAGTTGGTGTATAAGATATAATAATCTTCATAGTATTCGTTTTGCTTTTTATCATCATGGGGACCATAAAAGAAGTTGACCAAATGTCCTAAGAATTATGCTTCTTGCTGTCTTTGGTCGCATGATATAACCAACTCTGCCAATTCCTTTATCTCCCTCTCCAAGGAGAATCTTCCTTGGAGTCATCCTTCCATTTAACTGCAACTTCTTAATATTTCTGGTTTCATTTCTAGTGAGAATGTTAATATTGATATGGTTCAGTTCCTCCAGTAATATATTGCTTATTGGTCATTGGACAAGGTTCTTGCTTTTATGAAAAGTTAAATTAATGCTTCTAGATGGTTGATTTTGTATTTCTCGTTGTTACTTGGGATGCTGTGGTCACATAATGCATAATTTCTTAGTGCCCACCACACTGAGATGAGCTTTTTCACAGCAATAGGGAACTATGGCCTCGAGGCCACATGTGTCCCTCTGGGTGCTCAAGTGTGGCCCTTTGACTGAATCCGAACTTCACAGAACATTAGTTTGGATTCAGTCAAAAGGCCACATCTGAGAACCCAGGGGGCCACATGTGGCCTCAAGGCATAGTTTCCCCATCCCTGAGCCAGACTGTTCTGAGGACAGCAGAGACTCAAAACCTTCTTCCAGAATTTGCAACATACTGTGTACGAATCTGAAAACAGCTGCTCATCACGTTACCTCTTTGAGAATCTTTTAAATATGAAGGTTAAGCAAGATGATATCTACAACCATTACTACTATAATAATTTAGGAACTATTTTTCCAAGTGACTGAGATAGAAGTGGGAATTTGACTCAAATTGTCTGAATTCCCCATTGACTTGTGTTAATTCTTCATTGTTCCTTTATTTATGCAGCTACAACATAATAAATCAGTTTTAATTTTATGCTAAAGTAATGTTATAATACAGGTGAATACTTTAAAAAAAATGGAATGCATGTCTATCTCTCAAACAAACCCTTTTCTGTAGAAAATCTGCACAAAAATGATACCATTGTGAAAGACATACACTCTTAAGTTTTGGAAACTGTCTAAAAAATGCATGCATGTGTAGAAAATATAACAACTAAACCTTAATAGTTTACAGTAACCTAAAATTTAGTGTTAGAATAACTATTATTTCATTATTTAATACCTAGGTAGTGTCATTGTGGGTTTATATTTATTGTTTTATAATGTACTCATTTCTATTTTAGAAAAAAGAAACGTGAAGGAGTCAAAAATGACTTTTATAGAGCTACTCAGTTTCCATGTATATAGATTGAACTAAGCATCTGAAGGTTTTGGTGGTTCTGAGTCACTGCTGCTTCTTAACTGAGATGACACATGAGTAGCATGACTATTTCTGTATCTCCACTTACTCATTAGGTACAAATGCCTCAGTGGCTCTTTTTACAAACTTAGTCAATTAGGTTGTAGGAGAAATTTATTCTGACTGCTTCTCTTTAACAAACAATTATTATTATTATATAAGTCTTATGGGCAAAGCACTATGCTAGAGACTAGACAGAGAAAAAAATGGTTCTTGCCTTGAAAAGGCTGAAAATCAGGGGGAATACACATATACATGTATAAATATATATGCAGATATACATGTGTGTATCCATACCTACACATACATATATAAACATCAGGGAAGGCTACATATATGGGAGGCAGCAGGGTACACTGGAAAAGGCACAAGATTTGGAATCAGAAGACTTGAGTTTGAATTCTTGCTCTGCTACTTTTGTGACCTTGGGGAATTAATTTAGCCTCTACAGGACCTCAGTTTCCTCCCCTATGAAATTAGATTAAATGGCTTCCAATGTCCTGTCCAGCTCAAAATCCAATGAATAAAGCCTGAGAAAAGCCTCAATGAATGACAAGGATATCAGCAGGCTAAGTTATATTAGAATAGCCTGCATTAATTTAAAAAAAAAAGTAGTACAGTAAAGATTGAGGAACTTGTTTTGAAAGTACAGTGGATGAAAGGCAGTATTGTGGAGAACTATAATGACATTTTAGGACGTTTATATTATAGAGGCAACAGGAAATCACTGAAATGTTTTTGAATGAGAGAATGATATCAACAGACTTGGGTTTCAGAAATAATAATTTGGCAGCTTTGTGAATGATGGATTCGAAGAGGGAGAGACAGGAAGCAAAGGTACCAAATAGGGAAATCTGAAAGAAGAAAAAGGTAATGGCAGTTTGAGTATTAGAAAGGGAGAAGTGGATGTAGAATCTCCACAACATTGCAGCTGACTGATGTTGGGAGTAAGAGAGAAGGAAAAACAAAGAAGATTCCAAATTTTTAAGCTGGGATGACTGAGAAGCTATGATACTATCAATAGTGACAGGAGAGGTAAGAGGAAGAGAGGAGTAAGCATTTTAAGAGTGAAAATGATGAGCTGAATATTGGACAAATTATGTTGGAAGTGCTAACAGAGCATCCAGGTAGACATGTCCAACAGGATGTTGGATATGAAATACTGGAGTTTGAGACAAAATGAGGAATGGATATGTCATATGGAGAATAATTTCCACATAAGTGAAAATTAAAGCAATGGGAGTAAATGAAATCTCCAAAGAAGATAGCATGGAGAGAACAGAAGACAGAAGATAGTGCTTTGGAAGATATTCATCCCTAGGGATCAGGAAGAGAAAGATAAGCCAATGAAGGAAACTGAAAAGCTATGCTAACAGCTGGGTGAGATTAAGGCAAGAGAGAGCATAAAGAAGGATGTCAAATAAAGTCAAATAAAGACACACAAATGGCAGCAGAATGGCTAAGAAGGATGAGAACTTAATCATTTCTCTGGATTTATCCATTAATAAATGAATAGGGATGCTTAAGAAAGTAGTTTAACTGAAGTGATGAGGACAGAAGCCATATTATAGGGAGTTGAGGAGTGAATAAGTGGTGAGAAAACAGAGATATTAAAATTCAAAGTAGAGTCGCACCTTTTTTGTCTACTAAATAACGCTATCTTTCCAGTAGAAAACCACAACTTATGGACATATTACATACTATATTTTAGTACATATTTACAAATTATTAAATGCTAAATTATTATATCTTTTAAGCCTTACAATAACTTTAAATGTTTTTTTTTTTAATTTGAGGGTTCCACGAAGTGGGAAGTAATGAGGGAGAAGGCAGTAACATCCTATTTCTGAAAGCTCAGTGGCTTTTAGCTGCCCTGGGAATTTTTGGTGGGCTTTGTTCCTCACTCCAGGTTATTTTTATTTTTTGTCAACAGAGAAAATAGATTAGAAATCTAGATTATCTTCTTCAGATGGAATGAATTCAGTACAAACTACTTGGAGATCTCTTCCTTATTTTGTAATAGCATTATGAGCATTTTCTAAAAATACAGGTTTTCATATTTATAGTTGATAACACTATTTTTTGAAACCAAAGCTATAATAAGCTCCATGGGCTAGGTACATTAAAGCCTTTTTAACCAGACATTCTACTTGCAGCAGCAATGTAGGTTCCTTACTTGAATGTGTATAATATAATCTGCATGTACTCATACATGTGTTTAAATACTTAGATTCTTATTTCCCTCAAATATAAAGGTCGAAAAGCTCAAAGGTGAGGAAAACATAGTCATGGTCAACAGGTCATGGGCAGTCAGAAGTACCTAGTAAGGTAAAGTTTGTGTGAAAATAATATAGTAAGCTTAATACCTGGAAGTTGTAAACACTCCGTAGACTATTGGATTTTTAGGATCTTTGGAACTCATTAAGAATACATCTTCTATATGAAAAGAGAGTAAGAAAAAATAATGTCATTTTATAGTCTTCGGAGAGTTTGAAAAAATATGTTTAGAATGACATAAGCTACTTACGTAATTCATCAAAGTGAGTGTCAATGCCATTAGGCCCTGGCACTGAACAAATAAGCCGAGCCTTAAGGAAAGTTGTCCATTTATTAACAAGGCTTCTGTGTCCACCAAAGTCATTCTGAAAGGAGATGAGTAGAGCTAACATAGTATATCTATATGACATAAGGATTAAGTAGGTAAATAAAGATGACTGAAGATGATTTACCCTATTTTGGAAATTAAGGCAAAAATCAGATATATATATTAACAATTTTGCATTTTTTGAAGCACTATATATTATTTAAAGTAACTACATATTTGGCTTTTGGGATTAACAAAATCCATTCCTTCCTCATATGATTAGGTTCTGTAGATGCAGTTTTAAAGATGTATTAGAATCTCATTATGAAAAAACTTCTTCAAAATACAATCGTATTATAATACTAGTAAAACAAATCTCCCAAATTTCATGTAGGGAAGAAATTACTGAAAAAAACATAAAAGAGGCTTAATTGTAAGGAGATCCTGAATAGTAATGTCATATTTTTGGTATTTTCCACTCTAGAACACATGCATCTCTCTCACAAACATTATTCTCCCTATATACTGAATATACCTATATAATCTCCTTATATAACAATAAAAAAAAGGAAAAGGAAAAAAGCAATTCAGCAAAACCAACCAATACATTATTTAACAGTATATACAATATCTCTTTTTTTGAATTCATTAGGTATGTTCTAGGGAAACTGTTTGAAAATATTTTTGTGACAGAACCTTTAGTAAAGTCTAAATTCCATTAATTTTTTTCTATTTTAAAAGTATTTATTGACCATGACTTAAACCAAGAAGCAAAGAATATTTCTATGAAAATGTTTTCAAAAATATAGTGGATGTGGGAAACATTGAATTTTGAAAATAGGGTGCTCTGATTAGGAAAATATGTACCTTCGCATCACTTTATTGATATATAGTTTTATAAAAGGCATACATGCTGTGCAAATAAACATATTATTTGGAAAACATATATAAAGAAATATCAGTCTGAAGTGTTATTTTATAATGAAATATACAGGAATAGAATTCCTTACTTTTAAATTTTTAATTGTGCTTTATCTCTCAGAATTTGGAAAGGATATACTTACTAATTTTCTACAGAAACTCTTAGTTGGCCAGAGAAAGGATTCACATTGAAGAATTGATTTTTATAAATTTATTTCTTAATTAAACTGATAGAGTTTCTTTGGAAGGATGCCTTTTTTAGGGGAGAAAAAAAGGTCTTTGCAGCAGTAATTTTTCCCTAGTATAAAAGCACTCCTATAAATGAATGGATGTAGAGCCTGGAGACCTAGTCTGACTTCTACCACTTAAGCTCCCTGAGACTCAGTTTCTCCTGAGGGAGATGGCTCAGATGATCTTTATGTTTCCTTCTTGTTTTAACATTTTAGTAAAGTTTGCTTATATCAGAAAGCTTTGGGGATAGAGAGATGGGGGAGCCACTGTTTCTACATATACTCTCTCAAACTAGGACAGAAAGGAAAAATATATTTTTATGAAATATTTGACCAAGTAAGATGATTTTGGAAATAATGCAGGCAAATATTAATTTTATCACAATATTGAGCTTTAGCTAGAGAAGATGCATGGAAAAGTGCAGAAGAGAGGAAGTTCAATTTCATATGGATTTTTTTTTTTGGCTTTGCTACTTACCAGATGGGAGACTATAGCCAAATTGACTAACCTTTCTGAACCATATTTCCCCCCATTAACAGAAGGAGGAATCTATCATTTATACTTATATTACCTACATTATAGGGTTCTTTTTAGGCAAGTGTTTTTTTTTAATAAGCCATAAAGCATATAAAATTGGTTACTATCATCATATGCACTTAAAAAGAATATTTGGATTATTTTCCAAGCCAAGTTTAATTAATAATATGGGTTCTATCATCACCTTTCATTATGAATTAATTGCTTCCTATTCACTTTTTTAAAAAAATACTTTAAGCATCAGTGATTTCATTAGTGAGAGTACTTTGTTCAGTGATGCAAACGATAAATCTTCTAAGTTACATCTCAAGTATTTGGCCTTTATCTTTTTGGCTACAACTGAAAAAAATTCATCACCTGATAGGCAACCTTCTGGTTATAAGCATCTCAAAATTTGGCTGTTTTTCCTCATAGGACAAGTATGCATACTGAATTTTTCTGGGCCCACACTCAAACATTACCAAATTGTCAATATTTCTTGCTTCCTTTGCTTTTAAGATTTTAATTTCCACTGGCATAGCCTATGATACCTAAGATAACCTACATGTCATCATCACAGGATTTAAATAGAGGATATAATTACAGAAATTGCAAAGAAAAAAAAAGAAAGAAAAATAAATATTTATGGCAAAAATCTATCCCATTGCATTCTTTCCTTACCTTACATATTTGACCTATTCTAGCATGGGTGGCTTTCCCAGAGTGCTCTCCATCTATTGCATTTTCACGGAAGAAAAAATAGACTTTGTCATCTTCTGGATTGTCGCTCTCTGGGATGAGGTGGACACTAATGAATCTTGGATCTGAGAGACAAAATGGAGTACATACATGGACTCACATCACATTAATATAAAAAGTACACAGTTTCGTACATTACAATTTTTTCATTATTCTATCAGATCCTTTACTGCAAACAAATCTTACCCCTTTTCCTTCACTTCCAATGTTTCTTATTTAAGTCCTTTCCTAGAGGCATTTCAATGCCTCACATACACTTCCATTTACCTTATCACAGACCTCTGGCAGGAACGTGATGCCATGATTAGCAGAATGAGAATTCTTCTCTTGATTTCTCCAAAATCCATATCAAAAGAGAAAGTATGAAAATGAAACCATAATCTTATATCAAGGCAATTCAAGATGATACAGGGAAGAATACTGGTCAAGATCCAAAAAGGCTGGATTAAAAACTGCAATTGTGTAGAACCTTGGATAAGACATTTATCATTATCTTCCAGCTTCCATTTGTCATTCTTTCAATGAGGGTTAATGATTGTACTACCTATAGCTCATATGTATTTTGCACATACTTATATGTATGCAGGGTCATTAAGATTTTTTCTTTTTGGTATACAAGCTATAGAATATAAATTCCTTCAAGGCAGATACTTTTCACTTGTCTTTGTGTTTCCAGCAACAGTAAAAATTCCTGGTTCATAGTAAGCAATCAGTAAATGCTTATTGAACAATTAATAGCTGCCTTGCTGCATTTCACGAGGTACGCCTAGCTAATAAAATGTTCAGGCTCTAATATTGATGTCCCAATCAGGAATCATTCCTAGTCATTACTATAAGATGAAAGTGTTGATACTAATTATATGAGATCATATATTTGAGGATGTTATGAAACAGTGTATGAGAACAAATTATTATTTTTACTGTTTTGAGAAAGGGAGGCATAGGTGCAGTAGTCCTTTTCCACAGAGTGATAGCTCCGCTCCTTATTCTGAACATAAAGATACTTTTCAAATATCTTTAGAAGATTTTGTACTCAGACATTCATCTGAGCAATCCTAATTTCTAACATAACTGAGGCAAGAAGGTGGAGGAATGGTCAGGGAAGTATAGGACAATAAATGGAGCTTCATAAAACATGAAATAATGGGACTTTTCTTTTAGAGAGAGCACCAGGTCTACACAAAATCATTTCCCAGCATTGCAAGGGCCCCTTGAAAAAAAATTGAAAGAAATGTAGAGAAGCCTTTTGTTCAAGGAGGGTTAGAACAGACAACTTCTGAGAATCCATGATTCTTTGATATGTATTTTAGTACTTAGCATAGTGTACAGTAGTCCACTCTGTGCCCTTCCCCCATTTAATCATTCAGGAATACAAATTGATTCTATAATAATTGGGTCAAGTTGAATAAGTTGCACAACATGCCCCCAAGTTTTATCTGGGCAGAATAGAATATACTACTATAATATAGTATGTTGAGGATTGACCCAAAATAATTTGAAGTGGTAGCCAATAAGGAAAAAGAAATTCAAAGACTCAAAGAATAATTGTTCTTATTACTTCCATTATATGATACAATATCTATATAAGATCCAATTTGCTTGTGACTACACATTGTTGCTTTATGTTATTTTAATTTCCTCACGATTTTAAAATGTAAAATCCTGGAAATCATAATGCATTTTAAAAATATAGGACATGGTATAGAAGGGATCATATAAATATTAAGTTCATTATAATTTGTTCCTCTTATTTGTTTTCCTATCAAAACAGACTTGGAAAAAGCAGCCATATCTGAAGCTAGACCTCCTCCTTTATTCCTGTAAAAGACATCCCAACTACATTAAACACCCTTAATATAATTTCTTCAGTGTTGATCCTTGTGAATAATCACCATGAGTATGTGTTCTTTGGTTTGAAATGGCATTATTTAGGAAATACACATGCCATAGGTGGACTGATTGATGGGACTGGATTGTTTAACCTAGGGGGAAAAAAAGATTTAGGGGAGTCATGGCTGTTGTTTCTAAGCATTTGAAAGGGTTGAATGTAAGAGGAATTCAACATATTTTTCTTGGCACCAAAAGGAAGAAGTAAGAGCAATGGGTAGGAACTGGACAGGGGGCTGATTTTGGCTCAATGTAAGAAAAAACTTCCTAACAATCTGCTGTCCAAATGTAGGATAAGTTGCTTTGGGAGTCAGTGAGCTCCCCATCACTGGAGGTATTCCAATAAAAAAAAGCTAGTTAACGATTTGTCAGCTTTGTAAGAAATGTCAAGGGGCCTCTTGTTCAGGTAGAGTTGGAACAGACAACTTCTGAGACTCCATGATTTTTGGATATGTATTTTAGTCCTTAGCATAACATATAGTGCTCTACTCTGCCACTCTATCCTTCCTCCCCCTTTAAATCACACAGGAATATGAGTGTATTTTATATTCTTTGAGTCAAATTGAATAACTGGCACAATATGCTCTGAGTTTTATTTATGCAAAATGGAACATACTACTATTACATTGTATGTTGAGCATTGACCAGGAACAATTTCCAAGTAGGAGCCCACAGCTCTGATTTTTTTTTTAGGGGAAGGCTTGTAAAATATTGTTCTATTCTGAATAAAAGCTTCTCTATGCAACATGCATATTTACATGCATCTTTGTTGCTATTCATTTCTGGCATGCTTAAGGTAAAGTTATCTTAATGTCTTTCATCTTCTCCCTTCCCCACAAAGAACAATCATTTCTCTTTCAATTTGACCATTTTATTTCTCAGTTTGTTTTTTCAATTCTCTTCTACATCCTTCCTCTCTAGTCATCACCGTTTCCCATCTTCAAAAAAATCTTATTTTGCTGAACAAGTCTCCAAGATGCCATTTACCTAAAATGAATTTACAGATTTCTTTCTATGTATAATTGTATGTAAGATGTACAATTGTATGGAAATTATCATTTAAAAGAATTAACAAACTACTCTTCAGTTATATTCTTTCTTCCTGTTATTGATTGCTAACAGGTGCTACTTTTTTTTTAACCCTGGTTTTCTTTAACAATATGGAGATATGTGACTATCCAACTCATTCAACTTAATCAATCAATAGCTAGTTTTCAAAATTAGACCTGAACAACAATATTAGCCATATTCAGAAAGAAAAGCCAATCCCTTCCATCTTATTAACATTTGTTCCTCTGATTTCTTTTCCTATCAAAACAGACTTGGAAAAAGCAGCCATATCTGAAGCAAGACCTCCTCCTTTATTCCTGTAAAAGATATCCCAACCCCAGAACTACATTAAACACCCTTCATATAATTTCTTCCGTCTTGATCTGAAAACTTGAAACTGAAAAACAATATTCACACTAGTGGTCAAGCATTACCATCATTCTGAAAAAGGTTAGCCAGTTTAGTAACTTGCCTTGCCTATAACTCCTCATGGAAAGCTTTACAAAAACTCACTTGGGACTGGTTTACTTTCTGAGTTGAGCTCAGATTCCAAGGAAAGTCCATGATATTGCAGAAGCTACTCTCACTGAATAGGAAACAGAAATGAAAATCTAAACAAACAATTTTTTTTTTTCAAATTAAACTTCACTGCTCTGTAATCCATTAAAGAAGGGCATGGGTACTTCCAGTCTCCAGATACAAATTGCTGGTTTCAACATGGCCAAACCCACCAAAAATAATTGACACAAATGCTCAGATCTTTTAAATATGTAAACAGTTATAGCACCCCTATTTACCATGTTCCTTTACACAGTGCAATTTTATTCCCTCCCCCTTGGGAATTTTTTTTTCTTAATCCTTGATGACAATGACTTCACAAAAACTTGAAATTTCCACCATTTGTAAAAATTCCTTGTGAGTTGAATCAGGAAGTTAATGTGAAAGGACACTGGAAAAACTGCACTTCAAAAGAAACTGGCAAAATCAATTTAAGCAAGATCAAAGTACATTAATCTCTCCAGCATGAAACCATAGTGTAAACACTCTGAAAGGTAAATACAGTTGGAACCCTTTCTCTGATCTGTCTAGCTTTGATAGTGAGCCTCCAGGGAAAGAACCTCTGTCTTTGCCTGTATTGCATATTTCTAAGTACACTGAAGGAGCTGAACAAATAATCACACTGAACAATCTTGTAGCTAGTGCTATCACATGAAATAAAATATGCAATCTTTATTCATGATAATAATAGTAAATATGCACTCCCCCACCCTAATTCCTTTTTCCCCTCATGATATTATGCTGCTTTTCATCCCAGAGTTGGCATCCTTGGAAAAATGTACTTTGGTGCAACACCTGCCACTTGTTACAGTACCACTTTGTTCAAATATTTTCCGCAGTTGCAAATTAAACTGTCCTTCAGGTGCAATCTCTCACTTAATGAAAGTGACACCTTGGCACAGGACATGCTGCTCCCTTTATGATTCATTTGGCAGCCTGTGGTTATTTAAATAATGAAAACATTTTGCTGTTCTCAGCACTTGAATCAAGTTGAAACCTTTGTGTGCCATCATCTTAGCCAGCATTTAGCAGGCTACCCTGCTCCATCCTGTCAAAACAAAACAAAGAAACTACCGAACAAGACCCTCCAAAATTAAAACAGCAGAGAACTTGGCTGTAAAGGTATTTAAGTTCTAGAATTACTAATCAGGAGTTTTTCACATCTTTTCAAAATAAAGCACAAGAATGGAAGTCAGGATATGTGTACATTTCTAGAACATATACTATATATAGCCCAGTTGGCTAGAGCATGGAGCTAATGAGGCCAAGGTCTCATATTCAATCCCCATATGGGCCAGTTAGCTTCACACATTGGGGGGGGGAAGACAAAAAAAAAACCAACCTTTTATAGTTATAGGCTGCACTCTTAATCCCAGCCAATCACAACAAAATGCATGCTATAGGTCACAAGGTAATTCACACAAGATCTGGAGGAGGACTCAGTGCAATCTATCACCACTACTGGAAAAACAACTCATAGCACATGGCCTCCTGGCTCAGTAGCATCACCATGACATATGACTGGGAAAAATATGTTATTCGTAGATTTCCAAATGTATGTGTATGTTTA